GACTCTAAGATTTGGAATCCAGGACACTTAGGCATCTGGGCCTCAGTCGGGGGGAATGTGTATGTTTGCCCTATGAAGATTGTTTGGACAACTCAAGACCCAAGGTCATATTATTTGACAAGTGCTACATGAAGAAAATACTAGTGAGTGTGGAAACACACAATTTCTTTTTTTGTACTGATTTTTGTGGCTGCAATGTGGGGTGGGGATTTCTTTCTTCCTGCCATCTTGTTTCTACCCTGTCTGGTGCAGCCCATTCCTATCTGACCTGTGCTTTCAAAACACAGTCTGATGTCCTATGCCTGGGTGAATTATTTAAGTGGTTAGAGTTTCTGCAGGGGCATTTTAACTGACATAAAGGGAAAAGTGGTGTTTCTGTTGTCTGCCTTGATGGTTATAGTTTGAAACCCAGCTTCTTACTGTCATTTGAGAATCTGCTTTGGGTGGCATTTAAAAGGTCCTCACTCTGGTACTAAGGACATTCCCAACAAATAGGTAAAAGCTGTGATGTTTGGCTTTTTAGGAAGGCACTGTTTTGGGGAACTGTAGAGCTGATGATGTAATACAGTGGTGCTTTGGGGTCTTAAAAGTATGGTAGATTGGCCTGTATGAGACTTAGGATTTTGTATTCTCTGTCTTTACTGAAGCTATGAAAAATTATAAACACTGCCTAAATGAGATACTTTCAGACATTTACTTATAAGGGAAGTGTGAAGGAAATAATAAAGCATGTTGACATAAAATAATGAAATGGAAAAATTGAGTATATCCAGGGGATTAAGGTAAATAGTGTTTCAGCACTGCTTTAGGGTGGGTGAGAAGCCATCTGATCAGTTTATGTGGCCAAGACAATAGGCTGCTCCCCTGGACACATCCCCTGAGTAGCCCTGCATGTCTCAAAGCCTCTACTGACAGGGCCACTCATGTAACAAATCTGCCACCCGCTCATCCTATCTCTGCAGCAAGGGGAACAACCAGATTTTTGGATGCTCAGCTATGTAAAACACGAAGGCGGTCACATACGGGGTACACAAGCAACCTTGGTGAGTGGATGCCTGAGAGGCCCTGTAAGGCAGGGGGCCCCAAGCACCCAAAGGCCAAGAACGTTTAGCTAAGGCTACTTATGATGGTCTTCAACACAAGCTGCTGATCATGGCTTTTTTATTTGTTTAGAGCAAAAGACCAGGAAATGGAAGATGAAATGAAACACTAACCAGAAGTAAAAAACAAATACCAGAAAAATTAGCACCTCCCAGTGTTCCACATACTTGACATGAATAAATAAAACTGAGGGAAAACATAAAATTCTGCTACCAGGGTCATTGTCATCATTTAAAACTTTATCACTTTGCAGAACAGTTACTTCTTCCTGACCTCACTGGTAATGTCTGGGAAGATAGTTTACAAATTTAAGACTGAGTTTAGAATGAATCTCAAATATTCTCATTTTGGGTCCTTACAAATTTGCTGGTAAGGAGAGCAACTAGATCTGTTATACCACAAGGGACACTAGTAAGAAAATGAGAAACAGGAATTTTCTCAGCAATTTCCCTGCTAGACAAACGTCTACTGGTACTCAGCTACCTACCAACTTAGGAAGGGCTGCACCACCATCACTGCAGCCTTACAGGAGAGCAGAGCAAAGGCCACTCTGATGTGACAGTAGCTACTTACAGAGATGATAGGGAGCATAAGGAAAATCAAGCCAATATCCAGTGTAGTGCCCCTCAGGAAAGTACTGCAGAGAACTGAGAGGCATGGAATACTTAATAGCATTGCAAGAAGCTTCTCAAATCCCATTTGAGAAGCAGCTTCCATGAGCACTGCTTTTATTGGTGGGAAGGTGAGCCTTTGCGTCATTCTGCACTGGTGCCTTGTCACAGTCTCCATCTCCTCACATCCTTCCATTCTGGATGTCTTTCTCTGTCCTTCTGTGTCTTACCTATCCATGCTGTATTCCAACTGGCTGTAGAGTGCTTCTAAGATTCCTTTTCCTCAAATGTACCCTCAATTAAAGCTACTGAGTTGGTATTTTCCTGTTTCCCTGCTCAATTCTGTTTCATCAGAGTAGACCTCCACACCATAAGTTCCCTGTGTGGGTAACACAGGAGGGACCATTTAGTTAACATTAGTCAAAATGTGAAGTGGGGCTTTTCAAGTAGAAGACTTTAGTACAGGTTAAGTTCACTGCAAAGATTTCCAGTAAAGTAGGAACAATCAGGTATCTTAGTTTAAGAACTAAGGCAAATGTGAAGAGTTTGAAAAGTTTGAACACGTACGTGGAGGACGCTGAGTGCAAATGTCACCCAGAGAAGCAGTATCTCTGAGCTGCTCCTGATGCAAGGGACAGGTTATTTGGTCAGCTCATGCAAAGGGCCACATACTGATTGGCAGGTGACACTTTGCCTCTTTTGTTTCCAGTGATCTTATGTTCTGCAGGAAAGGATCTGGCCTCATGCACTGTTTTCCTCTGGCTTCAAAGTGACACTGTCCGAATCTTTGCTCCACTTTAATTTTTCCACCTTCTCGGTAGGCTGCCCCACCTTGCTTAGAGTAGCTGGTTCTGCCTTTGTACAAGCTTGCCTCAGTATCTTATTAAGACATACACTGAGGCCCGTGCTCATTACTCCCGTGCACTTTAAAGTGACTAAGAATTTAACATAGCAGGATTTTTCTACCGTTGGAGAATCTCAGTCCTTATTAGGTAGCTAAGCCATTCTTAATGCCTATACTTCTAACAATTCGGAACTTAATTTTTGAATCAGTATGAGGCAGTGGGATGGTTTTCAGAGGGTACTAAATGCTTAAAGTTGAATTATGGCTAAGATGTATAGTTTATACACCTTCCGTATTACAGCATTATTTTTTAAATGAGAACTTTATGAGACTTTAAATTTGTACTAATAACTCCCTTCAAGTAGGTAATCTTGGTACAAGAAATCTTGACTTTTTAAACCAGTGTCTTCCTTTGCAGAAATAAATATGTAGTTCTGGATTCTCTCAAATAATATAGTGTTCAGAGTTGATATGAAGCTAATCAAACCAGAGAAAAATAAATTAAAATATTTAATAAAACAATTCTAATATGTGTAAGCAAATCAGTAATAGAAGAGGTAACACTTTATTTTCATGGTAAACTTTCATGCTAACTTAATAGAAAAGTGGAAACATAAACTCATTTTCATATAAAACCTTTGATTCCATTTAATTAAGATATTAATACATAAAGAAAACATGTCTTTTTCAATCTCATCTCTTTGTTGCTCTTTTTAGTTTGTAGAGTCCTGTTTTACGTGAGGGTCCTGACCTCCTAACACGGAAGTCTTTTCATCACCCAGAACACTACTTACAGACAGCCAGTTCTGTTGATAAGAAACACCTGAAATATCAGGAGTGTGTAAAAAGTAAGGCGCGAGGTATCAAGCCCTTCTTAGGAGATACCAATTAATTTCACTTCAAATGACACATCGCCACATTATATAAAACAGAGTATCAGGTAACACTCTTAAAACGTCTGATGACTCACAAAAATTATAAAGTAGTCTGACCGAGACAACTGTGAGGCACAGTGATGTACAATTCAGACACGTACGCGTACGTTCTGAGTTTTGTTTATCCCATGACAAGTTCCTCAGTGTGTGGCAAATATTATAACTGAAATACTTTGCTCTTGACACACCTTAACACCAGTATTATAATGCTGTATTTGAGTGGTACTAACCAAACTTTATAAAACTGTACAATAAAACTGAAACGGACAGAAAAATATTATTGTGGCTTCAAATTAAAACTATTTCAATGACAAAGGTTTCGTTTTCTTTCCTAAATAACCCTATGGTAAAAAACAACTGTGAAATGCACTTACTGATACTTAATACAATTAGGCTCTTGGGCTACACTGATCTGTTAGTAAATATTTCATCAATATTGTATTTCAGAAAATGGTCAACTATGAATGAGGAACTTTACTATCCATATTAAATTTGGGAGATAGAAAAGAAACAATTACATGAGACTTTTCATTGGGGACTTTGTAGCAGGACGGGCTGAAATAAAGCAGCTTCTGAAAATTTAAACAAGATCTGTTATTGGTTTTTATTCTTTTCCTGGGATAAAAAGAATATGTTGGCTTTGGGAAGCTACCTTAGATTACATGGAATAAAAAATTGGTAATTTGAAAAGTTATTTCCTTGGAAAAAAATGATGAGCTACCTAAGACTGTCTCATAAAGATGTCTTGGCAATTCAAGGTAGAAAAATGCAGGTGAAAGTCAGACTGCCTGAGTCCCCCTGCCATTAATTCTAGGAATTATGAGTGGAGCCATGCCATCGTGATACATGCAACTCTTGGGTAATCCAGTAATAGCACAAAGGTTTGTGACTGGACTTAATTACATCCAGATTGGCAGAAATTTGGTTGGTTGCAATTGTTTTCTTACTAAACAAGCCACAGGATTTTGTGCAGTTCTAAAGCCTCTTTTCCCTACATCAACTGCAAATTCAAATTCGTATTTACATGTGTGCTTTTTGGGTATGGATTAGCCTCCTAAAGTACATAATTCCAATAATTATCAGTGACAGAAGGGATGAATAAATTATGCTTCAAGCATGACAAAATTAACAGTAAAAGTGGTTTGCATAAGCTTTTCTTAATGCATGTGCCTATATTAAATTTAATATTCTATAAAACTGATACGATCCTGAAAGACTCCCAATGAGTTATTAATCTTGAACTGTACCACTGCTTGCTTTGGGACAAAGAATAAAATGGAATTTAAATGCTGCAGATGTCAGGATGTTTTGAAAAGCTTTTTTAATTTAAGCACAGAGTTATGATGTGAATTGCAAATTCTAATAGCCTGGATGAGTGAAATATCAATGCCACGTTCACTCTTTATACCAGAATGCAAGGCTTAAGCTTCAGGTTTTGTTCACAAAATTAAAGCCCAAACCATCATTCTTTCTCCATGCTCAGAGCTTAGTGCTGAGGATGAGAAGGGATGAGAGGCTTTCTTCTTTTTATTTTTTCAACAAACAAAGAATATTACAAACAGAGTCACCGGAAATACTGAAAGGAGCAGGAGAACTCTTCTATTTTAACATTTGAAGGCTGGCACTTAATCTTAATTCATGAGTGTGCGCTCTGATTTACTATGGTATATGCCATCAAAAGACACTTCTGCTGCTTTATAATATTTGACCTAAGGGAGAACCATGTTGATTAAAAAGTTGCTTTATACGTTGCAGTATACTTTTGAGGACAAGTTTATTATGCTTTCATTTTAGTCTGAATGCATTAATCAGGAAATGTGTACAAAATTTGCAAAGAGACAGACATGACAGACACAAGCCATTCTTCTCTTCGGTATCCCCATCTGCTCCCTTTTTAAGAGGTGTGAGTTCTGCACAATGATATTCACATGCAGCAAACACCTGGAGAGGGCAGAGGAATTTTCTATCCCTTAAGTTCTTCCAGTGAACACAGACTCCATCATCCCTAAAGCGATGTTTGTCTGGGCACAGGCCTGTGCACTTAGAAAAGGTTTGCAGGCCACATTTACCCCTGAGCATGACCTTCTCCTATCGTGTATTCATCCTGAGCCATGACTGTACAGGATCATGGGGTAACTCCTTGCATACCAAGATTCAGCACAACAGAATGCTAGCCTCAACTCTGTTACAGTTTATCCACATAAAACATCTCAAGCACTGTGCTTGCATACCTGTCAGCTATGGTAAGGCCTTCAGGGAATAGTACAAGGGCAGATGAAAGGGAAAAGTGGAACCAGGAGGGCCATCCCCAGGTCTTGTTTTCATTAACATCCATTTGATTTCTGAACCCTCTATTTCATAGGCTCCTGCCTTGCTCTTGTGTATGTGTATGTGTGTGTGTGTGTGTGTGTGTGCGCGTGCGTGCGCGCATCCTCACACATGAATGTATTTAGAAACCAGAATCAGGAATCTAACAGTTCTGGAAACTGGTACAGATGAAGAGAATTACATTCTAGGATACTGCCTCTAAGATGAAGATACTTTACCAGAAGTTTGCCATTATTTCTGTGGACTTGTATATTGTAGTGTCTCTAAAAGAATTTTTTTTTGGAGCCATTAAGAGAGATCTGTCTATGAAATCCTGAAACATTCTTTCGGACCTGTGTGATGAATGCAGAAAACGTAAAAGGGACAGGGAGATGTGTATGTGTGAACACAGGAATGAGTCTGGTAAGAACGCAGACTTTATGTCTCTAGTCTCTACTTTGGGGAACACTCTAGCTGCTGCTTTCCTCCCAGATGGCCCTCCTGGTCATCCCTAGTTCTTGCTGTCCAGCTCTCTGTAACATCCTTTAAAGCAGCTGCCTAAACTCTAAGCATGTGTTCTTTGGGGACACTGCATGCATCATGTTTTGATGTTCAGACAAAGGAGGAGGAAACCAACAACTTTAATAATGTAAGATCAAGATGGCTCTTACTGGGCTTATTTCTGGCAAAAAAAAAAAAAAAAAAAGAAAAAGAAAAGAAAGAAAAACCTTGGGAGATCCAAGTAATTCCCAACACAAGATTATATTTAAAGTTATGATCCCTTGGCAGAGCAGAAAGCCAACTGTGGTTGGAATGTATCCTGCACATACACATTACCAGTGCAGTTTATAGCACCAATTGAGTAGGTCTATGGCAAAGGACAGCAGCCTGTGAACTGTGCCTGAAGTGGAAAACCTTTGAGAAACATCAGTGGTCTACATGTAACAAAGATGGATTTTCGTTTTACCCTTCACACATTTAGAGTCTGGGCTTTCTTATTTACAATAGTCTGAAATGGCAGGATTGCTCACACAGCCCTTGGCGGGACTATTTCTCGAATAAGTTTGACTTTGACATATTTTAAAGTGGAACATATTTTAAAAACCCCAGTTAATAAAAAAATAACCTTAGAAGACAGTTGCAGGTAATGTGGTATAAACTCATTGTTATCGAGAACAACAGTATTACTCTGCTGGACAGAGTCCTGAAGGCAAGCTCGGCATGCTTCTGTGACTATGTGACCTTCCTCTTGATGATATCAAGCTCTCTCACAAGGTCACTGAACTTAGGGCGATTTTCAGGCTTATAATCCCAACACTTCATCATAATTTTAGAGATATCCTCTGGGCAGTGCTGAGGGGCTGACATCCGGTATCCTGAAGACCCAAGAGAATAACACAGGATTTAGAATGCAGATTAGCTATAAATGTTCACAGTTTATAAAATTTCATACCTTATGTTGTAGGTATAATAGAAATAAAAATTGACTTCAAGGCTCAATTCTCTTTCCCATAGGTGATACAGAGTTTAATATCAGAGCTATCACTTAGTTCAAAAAACACAGTTTTTATTCATTTGTCAGAAAAACTGAAGTAAAATATGCAAATACAAATGAATATTTTAGTTGCTCTAAGTATTTGCTTCTAAAATTATAATTTGTGGGCAGTCTTAAAAAATCATCTCTACAACTTATGTCTTTGAAGATGAAGAGAGATGAGGATTTTATAAACACTCGTTCAACAGTGAAGTGAAAATGAACACAAGTCATATTCTCTTACAAGTGGCTGTCTGGCAGGGTCCCAGGTGCATACTGGATGGTGTGTGTGTTTTGTTAGAAAGTAGGGTGTATAGGAGAGGTAGAAAGGAGGTTAGAAAAGCATCCTCCTACACCCAGTTAATTCTACAACCACCACTCTGGTTCCCTTAGGTACCCAGATGTTAGGGCCCTGCTGATTTACCAAGAGTGTTCTTTTTGTTGAACCTGTGGACCAATAAGAAGGTGTGATCATTACCTAGTTATTCCCACCTCAGATCTGGGAGCACAGCGGGTTTCTTCAGAAGTGTTACTCCTGAAGACTAAAAACATTTCAGTCAGCGATACTGCTCTGAAGTTTATTTGGTTTGGAAGAAGCAGGAGGTGGCTGAGGAACACTATCCTGCTTCCTTTGAAGACAGTGACTAGTGTGACACTGCAGATATTCTGCTAGGCAGAGAGGAGGTGGAGGAAAAGCTTGGTTTTCTCCATTTCTAGTGTGTTGTGAACCTTTAAAGTACTTGTTTTCATTGTATAATGTGGGGAACTTGGCTGAGGAGTAAATGGTTAAACTGCAAGAAGTTTAATTAGTGAAGCATGTTGTATGTATCTGGGCATTGTCCTCCCGCTTTCCCCAAGAAAAACTACCCAGCCTTGAGGCAGGTCCTTGCCCAAACTGGTTTTCTTCTGTTTTTTCTCTTACACTGATATTCTAAATAAAAGCTGGAGAGTTCTTGGCTTTGGGGCTTCTCTTGAGATTCTCCCTAATGCTGGGCACCCTCAGTTGAGATAGTTCAATCACGGAGGCCCTAGAGGGGCTAAGTTTCATCTCTGAGTAACCATTCCTCCTCTAGGCCGGCATGGTCGCACACTGTAACAGAGCACGAGCCACACCACCCAAGGGATTCAAAAGCAGATGAGCTGCACCTCACATCTTTGCTCTTCTTCATACCCAGACAGCGTCGGTAGCGTCTCCTGCCCTGGCAGTCTACCCAGCAGCTGCCCCGGGGCTGGCTGTGACCTCTCACCACCCACTCCGTGGCTCACCTCTCTCCACTTGCTCTCGCGCTTGCTGATTTGTCATTCCAGGGTATGGACAGACCCCGAAGCTGAAGGTCTCCCAGAGGAGGATGCCAAAGCTCCACACGTCACTCTCAGAACTGTATCTCCCTGGAAGGGGAATGACAGCCAAACTATGTGAGGCTTAGGGAACCTAGAGGGGACTGCTCCTGTTGGTCACATATGAATACATTTATACCTGACTGAGGAGCTCAACAGTGAATGATCCTACTCTCCTTACTGTTTTAAACGTTAGGACAGTAATGTTACCAATTAAATGAATAATCTGCAGGCTGTTGGTTTAATCAAACCAGCTATGAAATCACCCTCAACCCTACCAAAAGAACAGACAGTCAGCAAGCATACCACCTTACTTCCCTATGGTATCTGAATAAGATGGATGATTTATAGAGAAAACGTTACAGAGAAAAACAAATTGTATACATGAATGCCTAGAAGATTAAACAGATTGGATTCCTGCAATTTTGTCTTCCACCTGCATTATTTCTTTCCATTAAAATTACAAACAAACTTAAAGTAATAAGGAAAGTTTTTTAACTTCAATTTTTTTTTGCATGTCACTGTTTACAGATATTCTTACATGCTTAAAGGTCTCATTTTCTCCACTGATAGTTTCATTTATGGAAAATATATTCTTCTTTGTGTTTTGAATAGAGTAGAAATTAACACAGCCAGCTGATAAAAACAATTTCTTTAGATTACATGGTATTTTGTTTTGTCAAAACATCTTGGTGCACCTGTTTCATTGAGCTATATGAGCTAAACTCTTAGAATTTATTGGTTGTGGTAGCCTTTAGAAGCACAGGGATAAAAATCAACATGTCTTTTGGAGATGATATAAAATCAAGGAAGGGCAGCAGGAAAGTCCTTTCCAGTCTCTTGGAGGAGAAGCATTTCCAAGAGTCTTCCAACACATGTTTGGTGTGTTTTTATTTAATTTGATATGCTATCGTCACTATCATAACTAAACTCCACCTACAGTGGTGAAGTTTTCTTAAATGATTTCATTTCCTGTCCCTCTTGCATCTTCTTGTATTAACTCTGCCATTTCAGGATTTAAAAATGCCCTCCTTCTAAAAATATCATGTTGCTTTAAAATAGAATGACTTTTCCCTTTCTCCAAGAAAGTAGAATGAAGAGGAGAGTGTGCTTGTGCCATGGTAACTGTTCTAAGACCGCAGTGTATTTACTGATGACTGGCTCCAGCTGTGTGAAGTAGCTCCCTTCTTAGTAGACCGTAATTAAGGACATTCACTATGCTGCTTCATAGAAGATTAGTGTTCTTCACTGCGTATCAGTGCTTTTCATGTTTGGCATCCAATAATTTAACACTTTTCATGAAAGTCACTCCATGGCTACAAGCTAAGACTAATTTCTTTTTAAAGAAAGTTATCCAGAGTCAAATACTTCATTCTGTAGATAATATGGGCAGAGATCAAGAGAGACACATTATATGTAAACCAGAATTATGCTCCGGAAGAGAAATGTATAACAACTCTAACTCTGACTTGTAAACTTGATTTTTCTGTATGATTTTTACAGGCCAAGACAAGTCACAATGTATGGTATAGGATTTTGTGGTTTTTCTCTCATTTCACCCTTTTCTCTAGAGAAAAGGTATTATCATCTTCTTCTTACAAATTAGGGAGCATAGGCAGGGCCTGGTCGATGGCTTACTAAGGTCGGTAGCTAATGACATACCTGATTCTGGACTCTGGACTGAAATCCTGCCTCCCTTGAATTTCAGAGTACACCTGGGACATTCCACTACTTAAATAATAGAATACAGCGGCTCAAACAACCTGGTTACAGGTGGAAAGCTTTCTTCTCAATAACCAACAAATATGATTTTATTTCTTAGGTGGAGATGAGGACAAACAGCACCATTGGTGAAAGCTGTAACCGAGGATGGTAGCAACACGTGTCAGTCTGCTTTCATTCTGAATCTAAAAAGCAATTGTTGGGGGCAAATAGACACCAACAAGCAGCTGGGAAATCTTTGAAAACAAGGTGCATAAGAATATTTTTGCCTCTAGAAGGAAAATTATGTGGCTAGAGCTAGGGGTGCATTGTAGGCCCTTTAGGATTATCTGATTTTTTAAAAAACAAGTACATGTATCATCTTTTCAAAAATTAACAACATTAACCAAATGAAGTTTATTCTACAGCCCTAATCCAAAGTTTTGAGAGGTTCCTTGGATGGGAGGCTTTTCCCACCTGCCCTGATGCCACACTTCATGGGAGAACTAGGCAGCGGTTCAGCAGCTGGAAGCAAGAGTGAAGGAAAGAATCCATGGAGAAGAAAAGATTCTTGGGAATGAGGCTAAATGTGTCCACCAAACAAAAAATGTTATTTATATAAAACATGAAAGAAGTATAGCAAGAAACAGGACTTTCTAAGATATTTGTATTTTTTCCTTGTTTAAAAAAATGTAAGGATTTAGACCCAATCTTTAGTACTTTAATGTTTGTGAGAGCTAAGACAGTTTCTCAGGGTGCCCTGTGGCTTGTAGACTCTTTCAGGAATTTCTCTATTGAATTTCTCCATTCTCCAGATTCTTTCCTCATCTGCTGTTTTGTCATCTGAATTATTTTGCATCTTATAAAGTTAGCATTAAAGATGGCTAATGAATACTTGTTTGTCAATCAAAAATCTTCATACTTGTTCTTATTAAATAGCTTTTAGGTCTGACTATTAAAGGCATATGAAGTTAGAACTTTCATTTGTAAATATTTTAGCCAGGTTCAGTTAAACTATAATATACTGTGGTCAAGAAGAAAAATTTTATTTGGTGTTACTGCTTAAAAATAGTAAAATAAAATTTTCTACTTATATAAGGTGGAGAATCTGGTTAACAAATTCCAGACAGCTGGATTTTACTGGTAAATTTTTAGGGACTCTCAAGTCCAGGTACAGCTTCCTCTGCTTTAAAAATGTTTTGTCATCTTTTATCCTGCGTTTGTTCCCCTGAGCAATATAACCCTAGAGTAAGAATGACCACACCAGAAAAGGATCACTATGGAAACTAGCAGGACTGCCGTTTTCTCTGCATTATAATAATAGATCGGATTGGAGTCGGTAGGAAGAAAATGTACAAAAGTCTCCTTTGGTGGCACATGAAGACAAAGGGTGAACTACAATTCCCATGGTGTGAGTCAGCCCTAACCACCTTCTAAACCAGTTACACTCAAAAGCTTTATCTGGAAAACATTTGGTGGTTGCTCAAAAAGCTAAATATAAAATAACCGTATGGCTCTGAGTATATACCTAAAAATAATTGAATACAGGCAATGAACCCTTGTACACAATGTAGCACTATTCACAGTAGCCAAATTGGGAAAACTTCCCAAGTACACCTGAAATGGATGAATGAATAAACAAGCTGTGGTACATCCACAGAATGAAATATTATTAAGTCTTAAAAAGGAATGAAGTACTGATAATGCTCAATATGAATGAGCCTTGCCAACAGTATGTTAAATGAAAGAAGCCACACATAAAAAATTCCACACACATAATTCCATTTATATGAAATATCCAGAAGAGGTAAATCCATAGAAACAAAAAGCAGACTACTGGTTGTCATTGGCTGGTGGGCAAATAAAAAGAAAATGCTTAACTGGGTAATTTTATTTTGGAATGATGAAAAAAAAATTGAAGCTACAAAGAGATACTGGTTGTCCAACTTTGTGATTAATGAATGAGTGAATGCTACTGAATTATTCACTTTAAAATGGTTAATTTTATCTCATGTGGCTTTTACCTCAATTTTTAGATAGCTTTGGCTTTCACTTAGACATTAAATTAAGGCATTTATAAATTCCTTATAACTTTTCATGATGGGGTAATTTTTCATTTGTAGCCCACAAAGTATCATTTTATGGTATTTTTATTCAAAATATATATGCGTTCACCAACCCCTAGGTTTATATGCTGTTTCCATTAATGACAGTGTAATTTCTAATTTCATTTAAAGCACACTCTAGTCTTTTTCTTTTTTACTGAGTTCTTGAGGTGTTACCCAGTTCTACATCCTGTTTCATCCTAACTACAGATAATACAAGCTGTACTTATTTCCACTTCCAAGGACACATAAAGTTCAAGTGAAAAAAAATCCCTGCTAGTTTAAAATTTAATTTCCAATTCCCACTTTATTCAAGATTTATATAGGTTCCACAATCTGAGAGGCTAAGAAACCATGCTGATTTTGGAATGAGAAATTAAGGAATCGACTGACTTGATGTTTTAGGAACCCAACATTAGATGAGGTTATTGGATCAATTATGATATTCAAAGAAATGGTACAGAGCTGCAGCAACACTTCCACTGTATGTGGCATCTATTAAAATAATAATCACTTTGGGATAAAAAAACTCTCCAATCTATAGTCATATTTAAAAGTGCTTATGTTTACCTTTTTCATCTAGCAATCCTACATACCAAAATCAGATCAGTAATTTCAATGAATTAAGTTTGTGTTCATGTTTAATGCAAGGGATGAACATTTATATATTATTTGTGTTCATCTTCCAATCATTTTCACTTGGAGTCTACTCCAGCACTGTAATATTGCTTGTGAATGTTTTGTGCTGATATAGCCCATTTTTACCACCAAAAAGGAAAAACCATCTGTTCTTACCGTAATTAAGAGCTTCTGGTGCTGTCCATTTAATGGGAATCTGCTTCAAGCCAGAAGATGAATACACACCACCATCCTCCTGACGAGACATTCCAAAGTCACTGATTTTCAGAACATTATTTTCACCTACTAGGCAGTTTCGTGCAGCAAGGTCCCTGGGTTATAATAAGACACAGAAAATAGCTATTAAAACAAATTGAAAGCCGCTTTCACATTTATGACTTCCACACTTTGCATTTTTACATTTGCAATGCATTTATAAACAGGGTAAGAAGTTAGCTTGTGATTTACCAGTCCTTCCTATCTTCTCTGTCACAGGCAAAAATCACCCACGAGAACATTTGCATATGGAACAAGCCACAGGTAGTTTTCTAGGCATTACATATATTTCCACTTAAATAGGAAAACACTGATTCTAGAGTTAATAGAGAAAATCACAGAGAAGAGGCTAAGCAAGTTTGGCATTATTTCTCCTTTCATTGGCTTTCCTAGGTTAGCACTGCCTAACGGAAATTTGTGTGAGGACGAAATGTTCTCTACCTGCACCGCCCAAAAAGGTAGCAGTTAGAGCCCAATGAAGTGTGGCTAGTGTGACTGAGAACCGAATTTTTCATCTTATAACGGCATGTGGCTAGCAGCTCCCAAGTAGCTCTTAACAGTTTAGCCCTAGAGCTTCGCAAAAGCTGGAAACAGCTCAGTGGCACAGGGGCTGGCAACAAACACTTCCACTGCATCTGGGACAGGCAAAACCCTACCTAAAGATCTGGCTGTCGCTCCCCATCATTGAGTATATTCCAGCCCTACTGCCTCCAGACACAGGATGACTTCCCTAAATGTGGCAGGACTGCTTCTCTCGCTGGGCCGTTGACTTAACTGTTCCCTCTGACTGGAGAGTTTTCCTCCTGTACTTTTGTACAGCTGACTCTTCCTCTGAATACTCTCTCTTCAGAAAGGTCTGTTGACCAACCTTATCTGACAGGAAAAAGCACCAACTAATAGGGAGGGCATTCAGTAATCAAATTCATATATAAATCTGTATATTTACATATTTACATTCATACACACAGAGAAAATCATATATAGTGCTGAGTGTGGAAAAAAAAAATAAGTTGTATAAGGGAAAAGAGATTTACAAAAGGGAATCCCGGTGTAGATAGGCTGGTGGGGAGGTCTCTTCGATAATGTGATACTTAACCGAAGAACTGCAGTAGGGGGCTGGATTTAGGGACTGGGCCAGCCAGCCAGTTGTCTCCTGATGTCCATTTCATCCACTTTAGTAGAATTCCTATTTTAGCTGAACATTAAATGCTCTGCTTTCCAGCCTCCCATACTCTACCTTCTGGCCAATGAAATGCAGATGTAAGTTACCTAGAATTTCTAGGGAGTTTCTCTGAAAGGACAAGGCTGCATCCTGACACTGTCCCTTCCGCTAACCTGGATGAGCATGATGGAGGGTGTGAGTGCCCATCCTACACCAACAGGAAACATGCTCCCCTTGGAAGAGCAGCGAGAACCCAGGGGCCTGGTTCCTGTTAAGTGTGGAGCTGCTGGAAACGTCCTGAACTGACTACTCCCTGGATTATTACTAGTTTTTGTTTTTTTTTTTTTTTTTATGTGAGAAACTCCTAAATCACTAAAGTGGTTTTCATGTGTTAAATTTTTCCTTCTGAACGATGCATGTGTCGGGGGGGGGCATACTGAGTTTGAGATTTCTATTAGATATTCAAATGGGGACGCTGAATAGAAATTTGAGTACAGCAGTTTGGAGGTCAGAGGAGAGCTTTATGAGTTGTAGCTTTTTAGACAGTAGTAGAAGCTATAGGACTGGAAAATGCTTTCACCTAGAGAGTGCAGAAAGAATTTTTAAAGGAGATTGAAGGATGAGGCCCTAGAACAGCAATGGTATGGGGGAGTGGTGGCTTAAAAGCTTAAGGGAGGGAAAATTTTTCAAGCAGAAATAGTGATCAACTCTATTAATTACTACTGAGAAGGCAAGCATGAAGACCATGAACTAGTTAGTGGTTTCACAACGCAGTTTAATGAGACATTGACAAGGGCAATTTCAGTGAAGTGATGAGTACAAAGGCATGATTGGAATGTGCATAAAGATAATGAGAAAATAGAATCACAAGTTTAGATACCTCTTCTGAGTACATGTTCTGTAAAGGGTGTAGGGAACTGGACAGGCAACTAGAGAAGCATTTCATGTCAAGGGATTTATCCTCCTAAGAGGGCCTATATATAATACGATAGATCAAAACCAATGCGGGAGGGGAAAGTGACAATTGCAGATGTGAAGCTCTTGTGAATCCAAGAAGTGATAGGATCTATTTGTGCTTTTTAAGTTATATTCCCAATGCCAGAAAATATGTTGCACAGAGTAGGTGGTCAAGAAATACTTGAACGAATGTACAAATACTATTTTATCCTAGAAATGTTCTTTACTAAAAGCAAGTTGTCTATTCTATGCTTCTTTTAAAATTATTTTCAACTGGTTTCATTTTCCGTTGACATAGTTTGATATATTTATCTCTGTAACGGCTCTCTGAATATTGAATGTGACTGAGGACTTCCAAAAAATTAAAGTCTAATTTATACGACTGGCTTTGTAACATAGGAAATATTTTGAGCAGCTGACATAGAAACTGCTTACTGGTGATGGTGATCCCTAAGGGAATTTTGATAATCAGAGAAATAATATTTTATATTTTAGTGGAAATCTTGAGTGGTAGTATCTAAAGCCATTCAAGAATGTGAAATCTTCTGTTTTACCAATTTGCTAAGATTGGTTTTATTCATTAGATCAAGTCTCACAATGGAAAGCTTTCCAAGAAGTCCAAGTTTAAAATTAAAGCTCTGACTCACTTCCCAGTTCTGAAATATAGCAGATTACCATGAGCTCCCACTGGTAGAGTTTATTGCCAGACAAAGTGAGTGACAAGTGAAGAAATAAACCAGGCTTTCACTATCTTAATCTGTAGCAAGGAGCTACCCAAGTTGGCTCAGGAACTACAACTCCTACTTAAAGCTGTATAAAATAGATGCTAGCTCTTATCACATGTGTGGTATTGGTGTATTGCATTTTACTCATTTAAAAAATACAGTTTAATAGGGTTAAGTGTGATAATGTCTGTCAAGTACCAGAACATATAATGTGGCTCAAAATAAGTCTTTCATGAGCTACTATTATTGTTTCTAATATTTATGTATTATTACTGATGCCGCTGTTGCTACTGCTATTGTTACAAGAGGCCTTGTCACAGGATGTAGAAGTCACTTCTCAAAGTAAGTCTTGAAGGCATGTCATGAGCCATCACTTGAAAACTCATCATAGAAAGCTAAGTTTGTAAAACATGTTTCCGAAGATGGATTCAATCTTCTTTACATGCTGAGACTCTTAGGAGGTAATGAAATCTACAGTATAGTGTGTGGTTGGTTTAGTCAATTATTTCCTTCCTGTATGCATTTCATCACTGTGCACAAAGCAGGATCCAGGAAGGTAGTGGTGTTTATTGACTGACAAGTTTCAAGACAGGCTGTATTATTTCTTTAAATTAGACTTAGGAACTCCCCTTCTTTCCACCTTTTAGCCTCTCTCAAGATGGGAAGAAAAAACTGCTCCATAACTTCCTGAGTTATTACACATTAAATCTATTGTTAATAAATAACAATGATCTGTTGAAGAATTTGAGTGGTTCTAGACATATTTGATTCATGGGCCCTATCTCAATTAACATTACATTAAAAAACTGTTTGAAGAAGATAAATGATATAGCATAGTAATTGTTACATTCTGGACCCAGTCTATCTTGAAAATCCACCTCCTATAGCTCTTATTCTGGTATGGCAAAGTAAGGCCATAATCCATATTCCTACCAACTATAACTAAAACCTCAAGATGAACTAACAAGTATACTCTTTCGAGGTTCTTCAAGGTAAATGTAGATGGATTCAAGAATGTACAAAAACTTGCAAAGGCAACCATACGGGTGTGAGCATCCTGCCCCCTCCAGCCCCTTCTCATTTTTTTTCCGGTTCTCCCCTGAATTCAGGCTCTACCTATGTAGTAATATAAGACAGTGGCACCAGTTCTAGTGATTAACACTCCAACAGAAACCATGTCTTTATTTTTATTTAACTGAAGAATTTAGAAAAAGAGGTACCTGTGAGCCAAAGAAAAGGCTCACCTGGTTCCATATATAAACTGCACGTATCTCAGCCTAATCCCTGAGTTACAAATATGTGAGGCAAACCTGCACCCATTCAGAAAATTAAATGATGTTTAAATACCTGGTTGGGTTTAAAAGTGACAGGATTGATTTTCTGCTAAAGACAATCAAAGGCAGAATTTGTAGTCTTGACCTAGCCAAGATAACTGTTAATGATTTTGTTTTAGTAGAAAAATTTCTAGAGGAATATAACAGGGACTTAGAGCCTGTGCAATATAATATTTGCAATGCAGTATTAAGGGCATAATCCAAAATTTTAAAAGAATATGGAAAATGTGGCTAGGATCATTGTTTATTGGTACAGTGTGTGCTTAGCATGCTCAAGATCATGGATCAAACCTCCACCATCACCCCCAAAGCAAACCAAACAAAACATAAAAAACAAAAATGTGAACAATTCTAAAGGTGAACGGAAACTGCAATCAACTAATGCCTAACTCACGATAATTAGATATTGGAACCACAAAAAATGACTTTTGGGCAGCCATTGTAACTATATTCCATAAATGAAAACACACCTGAAATGGGTAGAAAATCAGAAGTTCTCAGTAGAGATTTAGAACCATAAAAATTTCAGAACTATTAGAACTTAAAAATAAAATATCTGAAAAGAAAAATTCAATTGACAGGCTCACAAGAATGGATAAATGTAAAAGATTTTTCTCATAAGTTCTTCAAAATGACTTAATATTTAAAGCAAGTATCATAGTATTACCTGGCTGTAAGTTTTGCACATTTTACATAAAGTAGTACAACACTAACTCTACAAAAAGCTTAGGAATGTATACTGCAGTCTCCAGAACAACCGCTCATGAAATGATGCAAAGTGATATAGCAGAAAGGTCAAGAAGAAAATACAACACAAATATAATTAAAAGACCAATATCAAGAATGAAAGAGAGTTATTACTACTAATTCTACAGGCA